CTCCGCGGCAAACTGAGTCTGTCTCGCTTCTGCGTCGGTCCGTCTCAGACGGACGTCGGTACGTGTTTAATATCGAACCGCGAGCTCGAGATTAAAGACATGCCGAACACCAATCCGTATCTCGAACCGCGGAAAAACGAATGTAAGATTAAATAATAGGTAGTTTACTTTAGGGACAGAGGTTTAGTCTTTCCCGAGTTCAGTTTTATCATCGTTATTTTATTTTATTATCGAGTTATTTTATCATCGAATTGATTGTTATAGCAGGATACGAATTTACGCACGGCTACTTAAACAATTTGAACAAAAATGAGCCAGCCGACTACCCTCTATCGAATTTTGATTGAGTCTCGTAATTTTTATAGTGAGAACCAGAATCGTATTTGCTTTCCGCAAGAGATATAAATCGATAAATGACAAGAATATCGTTCCAATATAAGCTTTCGTTTTTCTCTCTTCCCGATGGACGGGAATACATAATTTGCTTGATAAAAATGAGGAGTGCTAAGAATAAGATGTCGTTCTAGGGATATATACAAGGAGACTATATACGAGATGACGTAAACGGTATTCGATTGTGTGCTATTTGAGAAGGTAGATTCTATCGCGCGGTAGACAAGCCAATTTGAGTAGATACACGTGGGAATTGCTGTGTATCGATATTGCATTCGCACGCAGGAGGGCAAATAAATCATTCTATTTCCGTTTCATCTCGTTTTTGTTATGTAACAGGGATGAAATATTTTGATCCCCGTGGTTTACATACAAATTTTCGTAATAGTACTTGTAAAACGTAATCTAATTTATTAATTGTTCACAGGGTAATCTCAACTTGCATCAATTGCTCTGTGAACAATTAATGGTATATGGAAATATTTATTAGATATATTCTGTTCTATAGCTTTCTTTTTGTAAACAGTTTTTTCGGATATTTTATTTTATTTTGGACTTTTAACATAATTTCCTTGCGTTATCGATTGCTTATTTTGCAATGTGTGTTTTTCTAGTATAAATTTTTTTCTTTATTGTGCATCTTTAATATTTTTAATTAATTATGGATAATATATTATAGATGACGAGAAAGAAATATTACCCTCTTTTTAAAAAGCTTTATAAATTGTCGCATAATGAGTACTTATCGCACTGAACGCCTAAAATGCGCTCACACAATGATATATGCATAAGCGACCTAATTACGGAACGTCATGTACTGAGGTAACATTAATGAACCATCAAGTATAATCGTGATGCATCGTATGTCGAATAAATTTCTCTCCTTAATCTTTTGATGATATCTTGCCTTTTAGGTATTTTGACTAGAATAAATTCAAAATATTAATATTAAGAAAATGATAATATGCTTATAAGAATTTTTTGTTTATTTTGAACATAATAGTAAAACGTAGAAATTAAGAGAAACGTTTAAAACAAAACTGTATTCATAAATTACGATTTATTTTATTTTTAAAATTAAGCAACATATACTCGTATGTCTCTTTAAAAAAAACGTTACACGATGGATGCATTAACGATTTTTTACTTGTTTAACTGTTTTTTAGAATTTAGTTATTTTTATAAATGTTACACTGAGAAAAAAATGCTTTTGATTCAATTAAAGTCTATATTACGACTGTCACTAACATAAGTGATTAATTCATGCGTATATTTTATTGATATAAAAGCTTGACTATTGGAATAATAATTTATGCCTTTGTGTCAATAAAAATATACATGAATTAATCACTTATGTTAGTGACAGCCCGTAATATAGACTTTAATTGAATCAACAGTATTTTTTTCTCAGTGTAGTAATTATTATTGAATATTTTACACAAAATATGAAGATCGCACTCTGCATTTTACACATTTTCAAGTATCGATGTATTTTTAAAATAAATTGGGTGACACCCTGTGGAATAAATAATGATGTACGAACGCGTCAAAATAGACAAAATCAATTTCAATCGGTAACACGATAATCGTATTTCTTAATCTATTATTATCGTAACTCTTAATCTATTATTGACTTTTGGCTTACAATACAAAACTACTCATTGCTCCGAATCTTCTTAAAAATTCGATAGTGACATTTGGAATAAATTTAACATTACTCTCTAAATCTGAATCAGTGGATAGTCATTAATTACCCAGTGGTATACTTGGCACTGGATAATCAATGAAGTTCAATTAAAAGAAGAAAAATATTTGAGTATTATATAATTAAAATACTAATTATATGATATACACGGAAAAAAAAGATTAGTTGCAGCAGCAAAAATTTGCGAGTGGTAGCTAAATTCCAGTCGTAACATATGGATACCTAACGTCATATCTGCGAGGTCTAATTTCCATTAGCTGTGAGGCCTAAATATTGTCATTGTAACAGATAAGCATTTTGCTATTATGTCGATCTATTGATCATTGCAGCAAATGTTTTTTGTGTAGCAGACAATTTGATAGCAAATACAGTTTCAGCAAACCATATTTAGCTATGGTAGAGACAATTTTCTTTTACACTGACATATCCGATAATTATGACAACTAACTTCATGCTGCTAAATAAATTGATCTGTAACAGACATGCATACTTTGCTATCACGTCCTTATATTAACTACAGCAGCAAATTCTTTGTATGTATTAGCAAATTTCATAACTATAGTAGCTAATGCAATTTTAGCTAACAGAATTAGCTGTAGCCAGCAACATTTTTTTTTCTGTGTAAATTTAGAGAGTACTTATCGAATATTGAGAATTTTTCTTAAATTAGTGATATTTGTGTTTGAAATTTTAAATTAAATATTACAGTCTTATACGCGTATTATACATAAGTTAATAAAAATATAGAAAATGATTAAACAATACTTACCATGATTATTTTTACTTATAATATAACTTCTATATATGTAATAAGAATAACATTCGTTAGACAAATGTTACATGTACATTCTTTTTGTGCATGTATTCTATATTATAACATAAAAAACTTGTAAATATATAAACAAGAGGATAAAAAATTAGTTGTCGCAAGCAATTCAGTTCCATGTAACGTCACGTATAAGCAGCTGATGTATTGCTTAAACAAAGTTATCAGATTTCTTTGTTGGTCTAAACTGAAACCGTAAAAGATATACGTTATTATCCGCACTAGTAATGATATTACAAAATTTCTTCAGTTATTTCTAATCGTAGACCTTGCAGAAGACTAAACTTTCAAACATGTTACGTTCTGACACAGCCAATGCAGCAAAATTGGGAAGATGGGCAGAAATTTAATGTTTTTCTGTTGCTAATTTATTCCTTTATTTGCAATTGTATTGCTCAAACCGATTTGACAAAAATGGCTGTGCCAACTTGAGTTTATAGATAGCATAGTTGGAAAAAATGGAAAAACGTAAAAACAAAATATACTTCTTTTGTATTATTTTATTGCTAATTAATAGTTGCTCTATTGTCAAATTGATTACACCATTTTTTATTCAGGAAAATCATATTTTAACTATCATGAACTAACACAACACCGCGTAAAATATCAATTTAAAAATTTAACAACATTTTATTTTCAAACTTATTATTTAATATACGACGAATATTTAATATATATTGAGAAATCAATTTAAAAAGTAATTTAAAGCATATATAATGATATAATTACAGGAATAAATTATACAAAAAAAAAAACAAATTAATTATTATGCAAATTTTAAAAGCGCTTTTTGATTAATTTAAGATTTGTGAACGAAAAATTTACGGTATATATGGAAGTCACTTTGCTATAGTCTGTGATTGTTTGAC